GCCCCGCTAACAAAAATAGTTCCATACAAAGCCACAGTGTCCTGAATGATTCAGTGTTGTTGAACGAATCAATTGACTAACAGATTCAATGATTCAGGCTATACATGATTGATGACATCTTTTCATACTCATGCTACTTTAATAAGAATCAAAAGAGAGAAACGGTAGGAGCAGTTCTGCAATATTAGGTTGAAATGTTTGTTAGGGATCTCAGATGTTCCATGAGTCTGAATTATTTGCGTTGTTTTTTTAGCAACAATTAACAAAAGCGCTTAAAGTTAATGGTTTAATCTATATATATATATATAAATTATATACAAAGACGGTGCACTCGGATTACTATGAATGGGAGAAAGTGCAACACACAATATAGCAGTTGTGTCACCAATTGGTAAAATCATTGTGTCACTGTAGCTGCCCTTAAAAGCTCAGTTTGCTGTAGAAACAATCTGTTTCTTTAGTTAGCACTGTATAAATACAATTTAAATTGACCAAAGTGCTTTACAAAGTAGACACAAAAGATAATACATCAACATAGTAATAATAGAATTTAAAGCAAGTATACAATCATAAGACATAAACCATTTTTAAAATGCCAAAGAGAGTAGGTACGTTTTTAACTTGACAAATGCACGATCACCCTTGTGTTTAGATGGATAGGAGAGCAAGATCACTGGATCTAAGTGATCTGAAGGGAATGACTTACGAGGAGGTCTGCAAGATAAGATGGAGCGAGGTTATTGATGGACTTGAATACCAAGACCAGCATTTTGAACTAGATTTGTATCTTACAGGCAGCCAATGCAACGAGGCAAGAATGGGAGTATTATGTTCATATTTTTGTGTGCGGGTCAAGAGTCTAGCGGCAGCATTCTGGACTAGTTTCAGCCGAGCTAGAATTGACTTATTATTACCCTGGTAGAGTGAGTTGCAAGCAGTCCAAACGGGAAGATATAAAAGCATGAATTGTTTATTGCATAAACAATCAGTGTTCTGAGATGGACGCTTAGGACTGCACATGTGCATTGACTGGTCATGATTTGAGCATTTAGAAACAACATTTATGAGACAGTTGTTGTCAGATCTCATTGGTGTTTTGTAAATATGAAATTTAATTGTAAGCTTATTAAACAGCTTTGGAGAATTTAATGTGTCACCATTCAAAGAGATAGGAGCTGCACTTGCATGACTAAAAAAGCTGCCCAAGAGGAGTTTCAAAGATGGCCACCGAGTGAAATGACTTGCCTCAAAGGGACTTTGACCTGCATATATCCTGTGGGTTTAAGGAAATGAAAAACATGGACTGGAGCTTGACGGGAGTTATTACAGACCGCTGTGAGCAGAAGGGAAATTGCTGTCGCCCTGCTCCACTCACATATTCTGATCCATTATGTCTTACTTGATTTTTTGTCTTCTTTCGGAATTATTTTCGTTGAAAGACATCACCAGAGCAAAATATACCGTTACAGTTTAGTAGTAATGATTTTATGAATTATTTCAATGAGAAAATAGAAAGCATTCGAAACACAATTATAAATGTACAATCCTCTATGGTCTCTTATGATTCAGCCTCAATTATCGTCCCTCAAGAACAACTACACCGCTTTGCAACGATAGGACAGGAAGAGCTAAATAAACTTATTATTGCATCTAAACCAACAACATGCTCATTAGATCCAATACCCACTAAACTATTGAAAGAAGTGTTACCTGTAGTGGAAGAGCCTCTTCTTAATATTATTAACTCGTCTTTATTCTTAGGTCATGTTCCAAGAATATTCAAGTTGGCAGTAATAAAACCTCTCATTAAGAAACCGCAACTAGATCCAAATAACCTAGCAAATTACAGACCCATTTCAAATCTTCCATTTATGTCCAAAATACTAGAAAAAGTTGTATCCGCTCAACTGTGCTCTTTTTTGCAAGAAAATGATATCTATGAAAAATTCCAGTCAGGATTCAGACCGCATCATAGTACAGAAACTGCGCTAGTTAAAATTACAAATGATCTACTCTTAGCTTCTGACCAAGGCTGTATCTCAATACTAGTCCTACTTGATCTTAGCGCCGCGTTCGACACTATAGATCATAAAATACTCTTGGATCGACTACAAAACTACACTGGTGTTCAGGGACAGGCATTAAGCTGGTTTAGATCGTACTTATCTGACCGTTATCATTTTGTCTCTTTACACGGGGGAAAATCAAAGTTAACGTCAGTAGACTATGGAGTGCCGCAAGGATCGGTGCTAGGCCCTCTGCTATTCTCAATATATATGCTGCCACTTGGTAATATTATAAGAAAACATGGAATTAATTTCCACTGTTATGCTGACGACACTCAATTATATATTTCATCACGACCAGATGAAAACATTACCTCATCTAAATTGACAGAATGTCTCAAAGATATAAAATGCTGGATGACGCGTAATTTCCTGCTATTAAATTCAGATAAAACGGAGGTATTACTTATTGGTCCAAAAAACTACACACAAAACCTCTTACAATACGACTTTAATATAGAAGGATGCCCTGTTACTTTTTCCACTACAGTAAAAGACCTGGGTGTTATACTAGACCGCAACTTGTCTTTCGAAAATCATATTTCATCTGTTACAAGAACAGCCTTTTTCCACCTTAGAAACATTGCTAAATTACGTAACATGCTATCTGTTTCTGATGCAGAAAAGTTAGTTCATGCATTCATGACCTCGAGACTAGATTACTGTAATGCTTTATTAGCTGGTTGTCCTGCATCCTCAATAAACAAGCTACAGTTAGTGCAAAATGCAGCCGCTAGAGTTCTTACTAGATCAAGAAAATATGATCATATAACACCGATTTTATCATCTCTGCACTGGTTACCTATTAAGTTCCGTATCAATTACAAAGTACTACTACTGACCTATAAAGCCCTTAATGGTTTAGCTCCTATGTACTTAACGGACCTTCTTTCGCCCTACAATCCACCGCGTTCTCTAAGATCACTAAATTCAAGGCTTCTGGTCATTCCTAGGATATCGAAGTCCACGAAAGGAGGGAGGGCATTCTCGCATTTAGCTCCAAAACTCTGGAATAGCCTTCCCGATACGGTCCGATGCTCTGACTCGCTGACACAGTTTAAAACTAGACTAAAGACGTGTCTCTTTAGTCAAGCATTCACATAATGCTTACCTTTTAGTCCTCTGCTATGCCATACGGAACCGTTTGCCACTGAAACTGCTTAACGCACCAGTGGGGCTCGACAGCCTTATAGACAAACGGGTCGGTCCGTATGGTTGCGGTTGGGTTGCGGAGAGTTTGGGTTACGGAGAGTTGTGAGATTATGGTTTTCTAACACCTACTCCCGTGTAATGGAAATCATTATGAACATCAGCTATGCTAATTATTTCCCATCTGCCTTTCTGCTGTTATCTCGGGACGCTTGTCCCGAGAAAAATGGCGTTCGTAGGCTCCAGTTTGGTATCCTGCCTCTCACGGGGATTTCGGATGCCTCAACGCCTGTGATGAGAAGACCAACGCCTGTGAAGAGACGACTCAACGCCTGCGAAGAGACGACTCAACGCCGGCGATATGTTATCCCCTAAATATTACATGATTAACTAAATGTATTTTTTCCAGGTACTCTCTGATATGGACTTACTGTAAAGCTTCTTTAAAACCCTATGATTGTTAGCCAGAGGAGAACTGGCCCCTGACTAGCCTGGGTTCTCCCAAGGTTTTTTTCTCCATCCAATCTGATGGAGTTTTGGTTCCTTGCCACTGTCGCCTTGCTTTTGGCTTGCTTAGTTGGGGATATTTAATATTCAACAATATTATTGAACTGTGTTGTACTACTTTCATGTTATCACTGTGAAGCTGCTTTGATGCAATCTGTATTGTGAAAAGCGCTATATAAATAAATGTGACTTGACTTGACTTGACTTGACTTGAAAGAGAAAAAAATATTTAAACTTACTTTGTATTTAACTGGTATTTAGCACCACAACGAAGGGAACAAGTAAAAGAAGAAACATGGTATAGAATACAATGCTCAATAAATTCAGTTTTTGTTTTCAACAGTTTGTCTTTCAGCTTTTAGAGGTTTTCTTTATAGAGGTTATACAGACGGTTACATAACTGTCACCATAAACAGCGAAACACAGACATTATCAACAGTTATTTAAGCACTCTTTAATGTCTTTACAGTTTCACCGCTTCTGCTTGGTAGACTTGCACCATTGTTCCAGATGGTTGGGTGCAGACCCTATAACTGAGAGGTCATTGTCAAGAGCAGGTGGGCCAAAGAGAGCCAGTCAGCACTGTGTGGGTTGAGTCGCCCACCACACGGCTCTCTCAGAGTTCTGCCTGGAATTTACATTGCCAAAACAAAACAAGGCATGCATAAATGATTGCAGGCATTTCTGTTGTGCATGCTTGTATTATCTGAGTTGAAGAATGCAACCACAGGCACGCTTTAAGTATTCAACGAATTCTGCTCATTTCAACAATTGGTAAAGTAGCTTGTGAGGCGACAGTCAACAGATGACAAAGTATTGCATCTTCTTCAATTGGATTAAGTGTGCATTTTCATAATTACACTGAACTGAAGTGTGGAAATTTAAGGTGATCTAATCCTGCCCTGCAACTATGGCTTATAAATGAGATTGAATCCTCCTCTATTACAGAAATTCTAGCCAAAAGTGATCTTTTACCAAAACCCAATACATCTCCACTCATTATATATGTAAATGGAAAAAGGTCCCAGCAGCATTTACTGAAGTATGTTGCTAAGTAGCCATTATCAGACTGTAATTGGCATATAAGACCACAGTCCAAGCCTAGTCCCTTGTTAATCAGACATCTGATGGAGTTACAGTACATACAGGGCTGAAGGGGAGCTCATAGGTTCATTATTTCATGAATTAAAATGGCTGAGTAACTGGAAGCAATTGAAACAGCCGCCCTCAGAAATTAGCACAAGTGTTCTGTTGATCAGTGCATGTAATTGTGTAAAAGTGACGGTGAGTAAGAGAGGTTAATGAAATACATGACTGACAATCTGTCTCTTTTACATTGGCATTAAATTGCTTATAAAAGGCAAGTTAATGATATAACGTGCCAAAGTCAATATCACAGCTAAATGCTGTTAACAACACTTTTCATGAACTCCTACTCTTTTGAAAATGTGAAATCAAGCGGATAAAAATCTCTGATAAGTCTAATTATGCACAGTCTACCCTCAAATGTGTATTGAAATCAGCTGTGCACTTTAACTTACAAACAAATCCCTTATGTGGCAACTTGTTTGAAACTTTGAAGCACTCAACAGTTTCAAAACTTCACGTTTGAGGTATGAAAGTGTGTAATTTATGCAATTCACTGCACAAAAAAAAAAAGAAGAGAAATTTCTTTTAAGTAATTTTAATCACAGACACTATTTTACTCAAAACGCTATTCTAAAAACCCACTGGAAATTTTCACGGGAATCCATGGCACCAAAAATGCTATCTTTCTTTCTTTCTTTCTTTCTTTCTTTCTTTCTTTCTTTCTTTCTTTCTTTCTTTCTTTCTTTCTTTCTTTCTTTCTTTCTTTCTTTCTTTCTTTCTTTCTTTCTTTCTTTCTTTCTTTCTTTCTTTCTTTCTTTCTTTCTTTCTTTCTTTCTTTCTTTCTGGGTTGACATCTCAGAATTAAATAATATTTAAAAGGCATTTAAAAACATCTGAGCAAACATGTATTTATTCATTTATTTCCTACATTGATCTTATGTAAATTGTAGACTTTCCAGTTTTAAAATCACATAATGAAATGTTTTTAAAAAAGGGAATAAAAAAACCCTGCTTGATATTGAATATAAATGCAAAAATATTGATTTTAAATGCTGTACAATTCAAGTGCATTTAGGAGATCACTTTATGAATAGTACCAATGTGATGGTTTAATTTGTAAATCAAATAATCTGACTTAATCTAGGAATATTAACTAGCAACATCAGTTTGTGCTATTTAATATTCATGAGTTCACCATTCCGTGCCACTGAATAAAATATAAACAAGATAAAAATGAACAAAAGATCCAGAGTCACAGCTGAACAAACGCAAACAGCTGACGTGATAAAATCATCGATCACGGTAATGGCTCTATTTCTGCTGAACCAAACTCACTGGTGCATGTGTGTAAGTACAGCGGAGAGTTGAATTGTGCTCGTGGGCATATCCCCTTAGAGCAAACTGCTAAACACCGGTTTAAATCACAATGATTACCATATTTGCTGCGGGAGTGAATGTAAATGGCAGGTCCGGGTTGGTACGTTTCAAACGAGACAGCTGCTATGGGCTGAGGAGCTATACTGCTGCGTTAAACAGAGAGTAAGTGAACAGCACAGGGCTATGAGTGCATGTGTACTGAAGTGACACAGCAGGCTAGCTGTGGTGCAGAGGGCATGCAGGTCTAACCTGAGGCAATCGGTCAACAAGTCACTCAGATAAGAAGCCACCTCACAGCGCCTGTCCTCATTTCCTTTGAGCCTGCCAAAGGTAAACCAGACTATCCTGGGAGGCGTTTCCCCTACAATGATGTAACTTGCCGCATAACAACCATAATATGTTGTTTGAACCACGTTGATTCACCAACATATGACTGTCATTAACAAAATCACACGTAGGTAGTGGATGTCACGTTGAGTCCAAAGATGATGAAGAAGATTAAAATTGAAGTGTCTTTATTAACACAAAGTAAACTCGGGTAATCCACAATGATGCGAGACAGCATGCAAGCACAAACACACGAACAGTACCGGAAGAAGAACTGAATGCAGGGAGGAACTTAAATACACAGAGATAATGAACTGAATACAGACAGGTGTGCTTGTTAAATGACTGTCCATGACAACCGATTAGTGGCGAGGAACTAGAAATTAAACAGGTAACAGAAGAGAAACAAACTAAGGGGCTATTTACACGACACCGTTTTCAACTAAAAACTAAAAATGTTCATTTACACGACAACGGCGTTTTGGGTGCCTGAAAATGCAAACTTTTGAAAACGGGTTTCAATGTGCAAGTTTTTGAAAACGGTCTCCGTGTAAACAACAAAAACGTGAATCTCTGAAAACAATGACGTCATGCACATGCGTGTTACGTGTTGAATCTATAGTGTTTCATCGCCATCTAATGGCCTGACAGCAGAATACAGCGTTTTTAGTCTTATAGTCTCTACGCAGAAAACTCAAAGGAAAAACTTTCCCGTTTTAAAGGGATACTCCACTTTTTTGGGAAATAGGCTCATTTTACAACTCCCCCAGAGTTAAACTGTTGAGTTTTACCGTTTTTGAATCCATTCAGCTGATCTCCGGTTCTGGCGGTACCACTTTTAGCATAGCTTAGCATACATCATTGAAGTGGACAAGACCATTAGCATTTCTAAAAAAAAAATGACCAAAGAGTTTCGATATTTTTCCTATTTAAAACTTGACTCTTCTGTAGTTACATCGTGCACTAAGACCGACGGAAAATGTAAAGTTGCGATTTTCTAGGCTGATATGGCTAGGAACTATACTCTCATTCCTGCGTAATAATCAAGAAACTTCACTGCCGTACCATGAGAGCAGCAGGCGTAATGATAAGAGTCAAGTTTAAAATAGGAAAAATATCGAAACTCTTTGGTCATTTTTTTTTTAGAAATGCTAATGGTCTTGTCCACTCCAATGATGTATGCTAAGCTATGCTAAAAGTGGTACCGCCAGAACCGGAGATCGGCTGAATGGATTCAAAAACGGTAAAACTCAACAGTTTAACTCTGGGGGAGTTGTAAAATGAGCCTATTTCCCAAAAAAGTGGAGTATCCCTTTAAGCATATCATTGTCAGGTATACGTTGTGTAAAATTCTGTCATCATTTACGCCAATAATAGACTATTAACTAAAACCCTTCCTTTTTATTATACAAATGTGTCATTAAAAGTGTCTACAAATTTATAAAACTTTTTAAAAAACGTAAAGACACTGGTTAATGGGTTCAGAGATGATCGTCCCCAAGCAGAGAACCATTGAGATTTCAAAATTTTTCGAAACAGTTATGACATAACAAAGCCTACTGAAATGACGTGACTTTGGCAGTTTGATACGCGCTCCAGTAACTGGTTCGAAACAAATTGATTGCAAGGGGTTTGAAGCTTCATAAAGCCTGTTTCAAAAGCGCCTATCACTTATATAATGTACTGCATGTAATCTTGCTTATTGTGCCCAAGAGCAAGGTCAATTCAACATTAACAAGAAAATATGCTTTTAACCCCAGCTGGACAACAGTTTAAATTCCAAATCGTTGAACTATGTTGGTAATGACAGAATATGCAACCTTAGCTGGCTAATAATGCTTTTGGGAAACATTCCCCTGAGCAGCTAGACCTTATCCAGTTCACTTAGAATAAAATACTTCCATTATTTAATGACACAGTGTTAAACTTATCCATATGTATCAGTAATAAAGACGGCAATTTCTCTGTTGCATATTAACAACTGATTTAAATTTACTCTCGCAATTTGCCTGAATAAAGGCGTACTGGGGAAACAGACTCCGGCATTCATTTGTCAAGCTTGAAACACAATGAAGTGACTACAATGCATTTATTCAGGAAATTAATCAGTGGCCCTAGGAGTGCTGCTGCTACTGTACAATATGCAAAATACTCAAGGGAGAGCAAACTTGACAGAGGAAAATCGGCTGAGCAAGGTGGACTCTGAGTAGACTGAGACCATAAGGAGCGAACAATAGATCTGCTCTTCTTCGTGCACCTCTGCCGTTTGACAAATGAGAGAGCAGCTGTATTGTTCAGTCCATCTGGGTTTCAGAACCCTATTGACTCCATATAAGAATCTACATTTCCAAGAGCCCATTGTTTATGTTTCCTTGACATTGAAGATCATTACAACTAATATAATGTTTTACATTAACACTGTTTCAGGGGTCAGTATTTTTATGTATATACAAATAAATAAGCAATGTGCATTTAAGGAAAATTTCTTTGAACATTTTCTGCTATAATACAAAGTGAGTGTCTCTCCATAGAGTCTCTCTAGATGTATCCGGTATAGAACCCCAAATAAGCAATACAATGCATATCTTTTGTAATTACTGTCTGTATATAATGCTATAGTCACTGTTATAGTTTTAGTGAAAAAATAAAAAAAGCTAACACTTTATAAGGTTTCATTTCTTAACATTAGTTAATGTATTAACTAACATAAACTAACCATAACCAATACATTTGTTATAGTATTTGTTCATTTTTGTTAACATTAGTTAATAAAAATACAGCTGTTCATTGTTTGTTCATGTTAGTTCACAGTGCATCAACTAATGGTATACAACTTTACAACAAATACAACTTTTGATTTTAATAATGTATTAGTAAATGTTGAAATTAACATTAACAAAGATGAATAAATGCTGTAAAAGTGCAGTTCATTAACTAATGGTAATGAAACCTTATAAGTGTTATCGAGATGCGTGTACACACACACACACATACAGATAGACACAGACACACACACACACACACACACACACACACACACACACACACACACACACACACACAGAATATATGGTAATACTTTAGTTTAGGGTCCAATTTTCACAACTAGTTGCTTATTAGAATGCATTTTACTAGGATATCAGCTGTTTATTTGTATTTATAAAGCACATATCAATCCCTTATTCTGCATGACCATATTATACATCCCTTAATCCTACCCAATACATAAACTTAACAACTACCTTAAAAAATATTAATAAGCAGTAATTTTAAAGTTTATTGAGTCAAAAGTCATAGTTATATATATATGGCATTGATTCAACAAGGTGCTGAAAGCATTCTTTAGAAATGTTGGCCCATATTGATAGGATAGCATCTTGCAGTTGATGGAGATTTGTGGGATGCACATCCAGGGCACGAAGCTCCCGTTCCACCACATCCCAAAGATGCTCTATTGGGTTGAGATCTGGTGACTGTGGGGGCCATTTTAGTACAGTGAACTCA